ATACAGACAGCGGCGAGGAGAACGATGTAACGCCAACGGTAGAGCCAATGGTAGTGCCAACGGTGGAGCCAACGGTGGATGGGATGAGTTGCGATAGCAGCGGTTTCCTGGTACCTCTGCGACTCCTTGGGACAATGTTGACATGAGGAAAGCAAGAACAATGTAAGAACTTACCGCTCTCTGTCCGTCTTTCAAGCAGTGTTTGGTTATCAGGTCTCTCACAGCGACCGCCGACTCTTCGTACTGGCTAGCAAATATGGACCCTTTGCCTCGCACTGTCGTCACGCAAGCATGGCCATTGAATGACATGCGATACCCATCAAAGATCGCCTCGTTTTTCGTCCACCAGGACTCCATGGGATCCTCGTGCTCAAGGCCTGTAATTACGATAACCACCGGAACCCCCTTTAGCCTCTGCGAAACATGCTGATAGATAGCAACGGCGTCTTCCGTGATTCTTCCCCGTAGGCAAAAGACCAGTAAACTCACACCGTCCCGCAAGCTATCAACGAGCTTGGTGACAGGATCAGGGCGAAGTCCTGCAACGCCAGGGGTGTCGTAGATGTCGTAGTCCAATCCGCCGATTTCCATTGGATAGGCCGCGCAAGAGCGTGTTCCACTGACTTCTGAGATCGGTGCAACGGTACTGCCAGCAATCATGTTGATGATCGACGTTTTCCCACTGCCAGCTTCACCAACCAGTATTACGTTGCGTGCTGGCCGGGTAATAGAGGTGGATGTGTCCTTGACGAATAATCAACATTGAGTAAAGGAATAACCCTGATAAGGAGAGAGATATTCACCATTGGAAAATGAAGACCAGCTCGTTAAGGAAGAGAACGGAGGATTACTTCAAGGCATGACTGGGAATACTTATACGTACTGCGCACGTGTTGATGTCACTTCCAACAAGGACCAACGGCAAAGTCCGGTGAAGCTCTTTGTTTTGTTTATGTACTGTTTGTTTTCCACCCTCCATATCCAGAAGGTACCTTTCGCACATCGCCTCTCTTCTGGGTTCTTCGGAGCCAAATGGACGAGGTGTTAGAGTTGGCATATCGGTGCCTGCCATTCCAGGCTGCCGCATTGTGTGACTTGTAGCACCCAGGTCCGCCGCTGCTGGTTGTTTAATCTTATAGTCATCTAACTGGTGAGTGTGCCCATGACCCAGTCGTCATTGCCCCGTTCGCTGACATGCCGCATCCATCCCAGGTACCACGGTGCGCCCAGGACATCAAACGAGTGACAGCGCCCATGTCGCGTACATGCTATGAGCGCTGGGAATCGGAAACTCGGAAACACCCCAACGGTGAGTGCCCCATGACCCCGTTACCGCCGCCCCCCTTCGCTAACACCTCGTTTGCAGACCACGAACCACGGTGCACACAGGACACTAAACGAGAGTCGACAGCGCTAGGCCCTTTCGAT